CAACCTGTTGAGGAACACCAAGAGGAGAAACAGTTCCATAAGTAGCAGTCCATGTGAAATATTTATAAGTATCCTCTGCTTTCACCAGAGAGACACTCCAAAAAATGAAGATTCCACAAATCAAATGAAAAAGTGCAACATTCCCCATTGGAGCAATGCTTAAAGAATAGTTGTAAAAATAGAAAGAATGAATGAATGAATGAGGAAATGTATGATAGATCTAGTGAGGATTAGACATAAATAGTATTTGAGGAAGTTGCCAAAAAAGAGCTCCACTGGGTGTGCCTATATAGTTGATGCCAACTTTCATATTCGGCGCACTTCACGCGATTCCGCGTTATTATTGCTAAATAATAATTACCATCTTTCTTTTACTTTGGATTCACTCTTTTTTTTCGCTAGTTGTAAAGAAGACTGGAAAAATTGTAAAAATGGCAAAAAAAAAAAAAAAAGTTGAAAGTTAAATCCCCCATAAATCTCGCCGGCCATCCGGTCAAATATTAGACCGACTCAATCATTTTTTAGAAAATGTTTAAAATTTCTATGCTTTCTCACCTCTTTTTTTCATCTTTATCGCGGTTAATTTCTATATATTCTCACCTCAATTTTTTCACTTAACAATGATAAGCTCATATAGTTAGTTGTAAATTATCAATAATGTTACGGTAGAATGATAAGTACTCCATTCAGAGACTTCAATTTTGAGTATCCTGGGTACAAATTTATTTTTGATAGAGAGCGTTTTAGGTCTTCTCGACGCAAATTCGGATTAGTCGCAGATTTGGGTATGAGGAAAAAAAAGGGTTGTAAACTACTATTTGGTGGTTAGTTTTACCTTTTTTACTTTTGACTGTGTGATACTAGCTAGTAATTAGGAGCATCATTTTACTAATTAAGACTATCGTAGTGATTTACGTATTTCTTAGTATCATTTTTACCAATTAATGTTTATCTTGGAGATATACATATAATTAATGGCTAAGATTCATCGGAAACTATTTTATAAGCTACCTAATCATATTAAAATATTTTTATTTCGTTAGTCATGTATGTATAAAATTTAAATATAAATGCATCTACTTCTTTTTATTGCCTTTTAATATGTGAAGTACATAAATAAAGATAGTAGCTAGAGGTTGAGTTTAATTGGTACTGTTTTATTGTTGTGAGATTTGAATACAAGGACGTGAGCCATATGAAAATATTTAAAACCAATCCAACTTGCTATTAATTTACAGCGGCCATTTTTATTTTTATTTTTAAAAGAAAATATTCTTTTATTACTATTTTTTTTTTGTCGTTCTTCCTTTAGTGCGTCTGAATATTTAAAAATTTTAAAAATGTATAGTCAGTTGTTATTTCGAAGAGAATCGATGTCAGCTTTCACATGTATATTGCATGGTCAGAAATCAGAATTGAGAATCCAAATAGCTTCATCTCTTTTTCCTTTTTCATATCTCTTTTTTTTTATATATAATCTTTCTTCTAATTAATAAATTTCTGCTTCTCTAAATTCACACTAAATTTAAAAATCTGCCAACATACATCTTACTGTTGTAAATTTTCACTACTTTCAAAAAAATAAACATCTTACCATTTTATTTAACAATATAGTTCTCGAAAAAAGATTTATTTTTTAACATAGTATTTAGACAGTAAATTTTATAAGTAATAAATAATTGTTGAATCTACAATGATTTCAAAGGGACTCCTGCCTCTTGGCAGATTAGTAAAGTCAAAGCAATTAATGTCCTCCCATATTACTAGTAAAATAATGAACTGTCTAAGGATTATGATCCAAGTAAAATACTACGTACTACAGTTTCTATCTGTCGAGTATCCTGGTACTTTCTAATTTAGTATTTAAAAATGTCCACTTAAAATTGAAAAATAAATAATTGTCTAGTCTAACCATTATTTTCATTATCTTATTATGGAATCTAAATATAGGTTCCATTTTTATTTGAACAATTGTCAACTTCTTTAAATAAATAAATAATTAATTAATTGAACCCATTTCTATTTAAACGCAAGAAGCATTATTTTAAAGAGAGAGCCTAAATTGGGATTAGAAATATTTATTATACTACTAACAATTGCATATGATAGATATAGCCTATAAGTGCCAAATTAGTGGGAAAGACTGGATTTGAGCGGATCAAAATGAGTTAAGTTGAAATGAGCTTAAAAACATATCAAAATCTTTGTCCAATTATTATTAATTTTTAATTGTTTTATTTATTTATTTATATTTAATAAATTTTTTTATCATGATTATAAATAGTACATAAAAAAAAATTAAAAAAAACTATTTAAAGACATTTTAACAATATTTCTCATAGATCATTTTGAGTTAGCTGATACCAATTCAAAATTTGTTGGATTGAAATGAGCCAAGTTAATAAATAAGCTAGCAAGTTAGTAATCAGACACTCTTGGATGAATTAGGTAGATTATAATTTCATGGGCTAGTGACTTATTTTCTCGCTCTCACGAGAAATATAACAATATGAATTCGAAGTTCTCATTTGTTGATAGAATAAATGATCATACGACAAATAGAAAATTGAAATTATGCTCGGTAATTAACAAATGTTGGTGTAATCAATTAACAAGAACTTCTATATAGATTGTTTTACTATAATTAGTTCTTTTAACATCTTTCCTTTCTTGTATTATCATCACATATCATAAACACAACAGTTGCATTTTTCAGCATTATAATAGACAGAAATTAAAGTCAAAGACATTATATAAATGGAGAAGTTTCCGTGGCGTGGTATTAATTTAGAGCTTCAATCACTGATCTTAATGCTTAGCTTTTAACTCAACATCATTACTGGCAAATGACAATCATTTGCAATAATAAACAGCTATCGAGTTCACGGAATCTTTTATAACAAGGAATTAGATAAAGAAATTAATTAACTATGGTGGTTAGCAAAAAAATCATGATTAATTAGTATAATATTAAAATGAATATTATTCCTAATTGGATAGTTAATTTGGAAAAGGATTATTTGGTAGTGAATGATGGGGAGCCATGTGATTTGTATAGGAGTTGGGTGCCACACGGAAAAGGTTTTTCCCACCGCCATGCTTCCAATTTAGGGGGCACCCCAAATACCTTTTTCGAAAAAATAATTTAAAATAAAAAAGGGAAAAGAGAGGTAGAAAAATAAAGTGGAAAGAGAGAAATTAGAGTAAGCACTTGTTCATTATTTTAAAAAATAAATTATTATTATTTTTAATATTTTCTTCATATTTTATTCTTAATATAAATAATATAATACAAAATAAAATTGATAAGGGTGACATAAATTCAAATATATAACAAATAAAATGGAGCAAAAACAAAGGAGGAAAAAAAAACAAAAAAATCACGGTAAAAAGGAAGGAAGACGTGCCTTTTCCTTTTCCTTATAGTATAATGTTTTAAGTTGAGGATTATTCTCTTTGATTTTGTTTTAAGGGATAATAATCAGAGATCTCCTCTTAAATTTTATCTCATAACATTGATATTTTCTATAATGTATAATATTACCCCTTACATTTTTATTATAATTTATTTATAATAACTTTTTTAATGTCAGGTTAATTTTCATTTCATGTACTAACAAATTGATGTAATTCTTCATTATTAGGTATGTGGATATAATACACGTCTTCGTTTCCTTTACGCATTAAAGTATCGAATTATAAAAGGTTTAGCGTACAAATGAGAGATAATAAATGACATTTTTCAATTTTATTGCTCCTTTACATCAAAGTTACTTGCTATTTTTTGAGTCCCAAAGAACAAATTAAAGGAAATTAATAAGTACGATCAAAGCAAGTTGGATACTCACTATTTGTTTTAAGTTGCAATTGGAAGGGCCATCATGTGGGCATACCATTGACAAAGTCATCGACGTTTTCTTGGATTTCCACTTGAGGTTGTGGAATTTTGCAATGTACCACTTGGAAAAAAAGTTCCACTTGGAGTTTTGTGGAATTTTGCATTGTACCACTTGGGTGCAAGAAATTCTTTTGCCTTCACATTCTTTGCTACATCTTACTAAAAATAGTTGTTTTATATTATTTGTTTATTTTACTAAATCAAGAAAGCATTAATAAATTTTTTCTATATTACCCTTGCAATTTTTTAATTTTTTTTTTTGAAAATGCCCACGTTTGTTTGTAAAATTTCCAAGAAGCTTTTTAAGGGATAAATTAATAAATTATCTTTTTATTTATGATTTCTTGATATAAGCAAATGATCAACTAATATGGGACGAAAAGAATATCAGCGGACTTTAAAAAAGAACTCTTAGCTGTTTTTGTTAAGAATATTATTCCAAAAAACTCTAGCAAACACACGTAATTATATTTTCAAAACATCTCGAGTCTTGACGTAGCTTTGGGATGTGTACAGGCCTCTAGGAGTTGGAAAACCATTTGTGCTACGGACTGGGGCTTTTATCAGGCCCAAAATATCCTTGCATGACATATATGGGGAAAGTTCACGAATAGCCAGTTTTAAGGTTTGTAATTGAAGAATAATCATATATTCAAACATGTCATGACTGAGTCATTTTAACTCCACACTAAAAATTACTCCCTTCATTCAAATTAAGCGTAAATTATTGGAGTAGGACGCATTTTTTAAGAAAAATATTTAAGGACAAAATTAAAAAAAATATTTTTCACTATTACTTTATTAATTATCTCTTAAAAATAAGAAAAAAAGTCGTAACTATATCAGTTATTATGGACTAAAGGTAGTATCCATTTTTCAGTTATCTTGGTTTTTTTTTTCTCGATAACATTTCCTCAATATAGCTAGCCAGGCCATTCTTACGACATTTACTTAGAAGCAGCCCATTGAGATAACAATCCCTGCATGCCCTCCACGTTTCCTTCACATCTGTTGTTATGTGTTTATCTCGAATGCCTGCCTGACTCTTTAAAAATTGACCTTCACATTTGTCCAATTCCTCTTAACAATTCCAGCCTTCAATATGCAGAGTACTACTACTTCAACAGATTCTCCCCCACCTTCACCAACTCCTCAACTTGAAAACCATTCAGGTTAATATAATTCGATCGCTTGAATTGTGCCTTTTTCTCTAATACAGTACTACGTATTTTTTTGGTTTCTTTGCAGAGTCCAACCTGCAGACTTCAACAGCCTCTCCAACACCTGATGTTGGCAAAACTAGTACAGGTTTATAGTCCATCACTTCATATTTCCTGTGTAATTTCAGGTTATTTTAATCTGATTTCAACTAAATCTCTTTTTGTTAAAGCTTTATTCCAGTGTCTTACATGTTGAAGATGATAACACTAGCATTTTATATAATATTTGAGAATCCAGGAATTATATTAACTACAATTTCTGCATCATATTCTTGGTTAGTAATTTGGCTCTGAATTTAATTTTTGTATATAATTAATGAATTTTTCGCGCAACATATTTATGTTTTGGCCAAAAACATATGCTAAAGCCTACCTAGCCCTCTGTCCTTCACCTTCTTCTTTTTTTCCACCTCGGAAGTCGCTAATTAAGATGAATGTTATATATATTTTCAGATATAATCAGAGATGTAATTTTATGGAAGAGGAAGAGTTATAGTGTTGTTGCACTATTAGCAGCTACAGCGATATGGCTGGCACTTGAAGTCTATGGATTAACCTTTATAACGCTGTTTTCATGGATCGCCATGTTCGTGATCGCTTTCACCTTTTTATGGGGTAACATACATATGCTCTTGGGAAAGTAAGCTACCGCTTAAGCAGCTAAGATTTCTTTATTTTCTCTTTTTAACATAAATGCTTTATGTTATGTGGGATTTAGTAGTAAGTTAAACTTTTTTCGCTATGATAAATAAATAAAACTGCAATACTACTACTCTTTGGTAACAATAAAATGACTAAGCCTCAGTACCCACTCTAAACACATATATAGGTAAAACATAAGTAAAGTCAATTGTTCAGGGGTGAAGTGCAGTTATTATAAAGTGATGAAGTGACAAAAAATCAAAAATAGTACTGCTCTATTTCAGTATTATTGGTCATTGTGAAACTAACGCATCAGGCTCTTAGCGCTATGTTGATATTCCTAAAGAGTGTCATTATTTTTATTTCACTTTTATCCTTCAATCAGGCCTATCTTACCATTTGAATGATACCAATAGAGAAGAGTGTTTTCGCCTCTTATATATATATGAACATGAGAATCAGCTAATAATGTGGTGATACATTTTTGCAGAGATCCCCTAGACATGTCAAGGATGTACATAAGCGATGAATCAGTTGTGGAAGCAGGAACCAAATTTCGTGAATCGGTTGAGAATAGCCTGAGGTTTCTGTTTAGCGTGAGTACCAAGAGAGAGTGGTTCGTCTTTGCGGGGACTCTAGCTTCTTTGGAATTGCTTTCGGTTGTGGCAAGTTACTTTGATTTACTTACGCTTCTCTACATTGGTAATTACTACACTACTTATATGATGATGATTAACTCAGTCTACTAATTTACCTACTTATGTTTTAGTACTATATAAGTGTGTGGGTTTAAGGAGTATATCTGGTAATGCAGGGATTGTGGTGGGGCTGACTGTACCAGTTGTATATGTGAAATATGAAGACAGGATTAAGGACTTGGGGCAGCGAGTAAGGGTCCGATGCCACATATATAACAGCGCGGTGACGGAGAGATGTCACATGTATTACCGCACCATTGCCGAGAGGGTGAAGAAAATGAAGAGCAAGCTGCAGCAGAAGAAGAAAAAAAACGAGTAGTCGGTATATATTAGTATATTTTTACTTGGTTATTATTAGTAATAATAAATTGATTTCAAGGTTTTTACAAATGATCACCATATAGGATTGGAGTTCTCGTCTGCTTACGCTTGTAACTAGACTAGATAATATTGGCCCGTAATACTTCTGTGACAAGCGTGTTTCCAAATGATTTTTGGCTGTTGCATTAAGTGTTATTTGCATAAATTAAGTCACTAAACTAAGTAGAGAGTGCAATTTCACTTTCCAAGTGATAAGATTGGCTTTTAAAGGGGAAAGTTGATTCCAGATAAGATGTTTATTACTAAAACATATCAAATAAGCATGTGTTGACAAGTAATAGAGGATCGTACTGATATCCTCCGAGCTTTGCGACACAGTTCTTATTTATACTTGTTTAGAATGGCAGTTACTTTTGAACGAAGAAACTTTTCCTTCAACTAATGTTAACTAATCATACATTGAGAATGAAATCTCAAACAAAAAGATCTCAACATATTTACAGCAAACATGATTAATTATGTCAATAAGATACAATTCCTTAAAAAATGTATGATAGCTTAAATACATCAATTTTGCCAATAACATAATTGTGACACTATAACCACCTCATGCTACTTGAATGTTATTAATTATACATCTCTGAAGGAACCAATATGGTTATTTGAGTTTTCCCCTCATAGAGAGGAAGAGTTGCCAAATAACACAATGACACTATAACCACGTATACATCTGTGAATGAACTAATATTCTCTAAACTGGAAAAAAATTCATTCTAACAATGAAACGGAAACTTGTCATGCGGAATTACTTTAGTAGTAGGGCCTCTTCTGGAAAGCCTCTTCAAGTGTTATGCCTCTTCATTTTTGGTATGCTACACAGAGAAAATGTCATCACAATTACTAAGAGTGGAATTAAATAAATACAACAGATCTTAACATGTATAATCTACTCTCTTTTAGAAAAGAGAGGAGTGTAATTAGGTGGCATCATACATATACAGATGAACCATCTATTTAGCCACTTCTAATTTTGTAAAAGAAAAAACAAACTTGGAAATTACTCAATCAAGTGCCCATCGATATGAATCCAAAATTTTAGCCAGGTAAGTCATAATTTTCAAGTGTAACAAAAATGTCTTTTATGTGAACAGGAGGAATTAATATAACAATCAAACTATGCGAACATAAAACACACTTATTCCTTTTATAGGTGCATATGCATTAAACTGATCGATGAGCTGAGAATTAGATAGATTCAAATAGAATTTTGTTAGTGCAAGGATTATACTGATGCATTTTGATTGTGATGGAAACATAACGTAATAAAGATGGATGAAAGTGGGAGGATGCCTGGTAGTAGTTAAAATCACTTGATCATGGAAGGAATGGACACTTCAGCCTCTTTAAGCAAAACAAATACTACTTCTCATTGGAATTACGTTAAAATAAGAAGAGCATCAATAATGAAGCAATACATATAGGAAAATGACACTAACAACATTGGACTGCAGGAATACAAATTTAAATGTTCGTTCTGAAGGACACCAAGTGTGAGCCAGCCTATATGCTCCAACCTCGATGCACATGTTTATCACATACTTGTGTCTGTGGGTTGCAGCGGAACGCTTGATTGCAGAGGCAGACATCAAGCAATGGTTGACGATGAATAAGGAAACGAGGTACCATCCCGACGATACGGTAGACAGGGCAAGCTTAGCATCCGAATTTCCCCCATAACTCGGGGGTAGTTCATATCTTATTTACAAATCTCTTTTGTTATTAATTTCTTGTTATATCACTAAATTAGCAATTGTAAATGATCTATACTATCAAATCTTCCAATGAATGCTTATGGAATTAGTTGAATTGTTAATCTTTTACCTGGAAGTTTCAGGTACAAAACTCATCACACGAAGCTTGCCTAAAAGGCACAACGGTAATTCTTTTCCCTATATGTTCATACAACCTCCTCAAAACTATGGCTAATCAAAAGCAAAATGTGTCTTTTCCTTCCCTTTACATATATAAATAGCCAAGTTGTGGTGGCTTAACAAAATGTATTCTAATTTAATCCTAATATTAGTCTTTGAATAGATATCGTTAAATACAAAGGTTACTATGTGGACCACCGCTTTGGTAACTGATGACAATTTCTACTTAACAATCTACCTATTTATTATTTTTAGGAAAACACTTAACTGGCAGAACTCTAATTAGTTGGGGGTTGTGTCTCAACATTGAAGTTTAGTTCGTTTTATTTTTTATTGCGTCTTCTCAAATTCAAACTTCATCACCCCATAAAACTAAATCTAAAACCAAAGCTTTATAAATCGGCTCAGCCAAATGCGATGAAGCTCTGAAGAGAACCGAATGTGAAGGGAAAAAAACTTATCACAAGAAATCAGATCTAAAAAAAATGAATAGGAAGGCAGGGAAAGAAGAAAAAATTACCTTGAAATTGAAGAGTAATTGAAAAGATTGAAGAGAAATAGCTCCGCCTTTTTCCTTTTCAATAGACGAAGATTCGTGGAAAGCAGACATGGAGTCCCACACAATAAACCCAAGGACACACAACCACGAGGAGTAAGCAGAAGGTGGGACAACAGGTTGAATTTACCACAATACCCTCAGCTAATAAAAAAAATCACAAGCAGACATGCTGATACCTCAAATTGTATCCACTCCTCTAATATACGTAGTAGAATTTGCACAAGTAAATTTGATACTACACCAGTATAATCCTCCACTTTGTTGTAAGTGTAATAATTAACAATTGTCTACATGGTGGATCCGTGACGCAATGGTAGCTCTTCCGCATTGTTGCCAATCATTAGAGTTAATCTAATTGGATATCAAGTCTTAATTTTTCCGTGAATTTTTGATATTTTTATTATTGTTCAAAATAAGTTTCATATTTGCCATTTTTTATTAATTAAGTTTTATATGTTTTAGGAGATAAATTACATTATTTATCACTTATATTTATAATAATAATAATTTAACAAAAGGACATTAGCAAAAAAATATGATGTAAATTATGTTTTGAATAATTTTCTTAATAGGGTTGTATTGTCACGTCAATTTACTTAACATAGAATAGAGGGAGTGTTAAATAACGTGTCAAATCACTTTCTATATTGGTTTAAATTGCTTTTGGTCCCTTATGCTTTAGGAAAAAAATTAAGTGGTTTGGTACAAATTCTTATACTCCAATTCTGAGGTTATTAATTATTTCATCACCTTCAATTTACTGACTTATTTTTTTCTTTTCAATTTACTAAATATAAAAATAAATATTTTTTTTGAAAAAATTTAAGAAGTAAAGTAAAAATAGCTAAATTGAAATGGATGGAGTATCATGTACCCATCGAAGAAACTCAAGGGAGCAAATGGAAAAAGAAGGAAGATTTGTACCCGACGACCTCAAAAGTCAATTGAGTCGGAAACTTCCGACCAATTGCCATCTCTTTTCCAAAATCATTCTCACCAATGAATGCCATAATATCTACAAGACGACCTACTGCAATACTTCACTCGCCTCACCAAGACTTTCCCCAAAATAATCCATTTTGCAGTGTTACGTAGCAATGGCAGCAGCTCTCTTGGGAGGAGCTGCTTTGGGTCCAGTCTTCGACCTACTCCTCAAATCAGTTATTGATGTTGGTATACACATCCTTACTTTCCGTTCCAAATTCCTCAGCTTGAAAGAGACATTAAACTGCATCAAACCAGTATTCGATGACATTGAGAGGCTAAGCAAGGTCCTAGACGGCCGAGATGAAGAAATAGACATGTTTAAGAAGCAGTTGATGAAAGGTGAAGAGCTAGTCCTCAAGTGTTCCAAGATTAAACGCTGCGACCCTTTGAAGAGGTGGAGTTACTCCAGGAAACTGACGAAGTTGGATTATTCACTAGTGAAGTTCTGCCAGATACATGGTTTAATTCAGGTGGTTAGGGATACTAAACAGATTCTGGTTAAGGTTAACGAAAATGGCAAGATATTGGAGGAGATTCACTCGATGGTGAGGAATGTTTCATTGACGAGATCCGGGAGTAGTATTGGATTTACAAATTCTAGTGGTTCTTCTGGGTGGATGAATGGTTCTAGTTTTGGGTTTTCAGGATTGTCTGATGTGCCTCAAGTTTCTGATTCTATGGTTGGATTTGAAGTCCCACTTCATGAATTGAAACAGAAATTGAAGCTGCTTCAGGAGAAAGATAAAGTGCTGGTTCTTTCTGCTCCTCCTGGCTGTGGAAAAACTACTTTGGCAGCAAAGCTTTGTCAAGAGGATGATATCAAAGGTAATGTTTATTTATTGTTTGCCATGTTAAATGTTAGTAACTTACGCTGTTATTGCTGTTAAATTAGTCCTTTCTAGTTTGTAAGAAGCATGTCTTTGTAACTTCAGTTAGCTAATTCTCTTGTTTGTCTTCGAATCACATGAACTTAAACGCTGCCTGGATTAATTTCCTTTTGACTTTATCGATTCTTACTATGTCTGTTTATCAGTTGAATTTTGATGTATGTGTTTTAGTCTTATGATTGCATAGGATGATAGGAACCAAAAATACTTCACACGAACATAAGGTTGTGTTTTCTTGTTAGGCAACGAAAACATAGATTGTGTTCTGGGTTGCTTCTGATGTGTGTAGAAGAAAGCCCTTCATACTTAAAGACTAGCTTGCTGACCCCATAAAAGGAGAAATATAGTATATTCTCTTTTTGCGATTCCACTTATTGGCTATGCAGATTATTGAAATTATGGCAAGACTAATTGATATTAATGCTGTATCATGTTCTTATGTTATATTAAGCTTCTTGCTGATTTTCAGCATATTTGATCTAATTGTCTCTTTATAGCCACATACAGCGACAACATCTTTTTTGTCACTGTTACCAAAACACCAAACATCAAACGCATTGTTGGGGAAATCTTTGAGAAGAAAGGCTACAGGGTCCCAGAGTTTGCTACTGAGCATGATGCAATCTGCCAACTC